AGCCCTACATGTTCTTTGGCTCCCTCATGGTGTAGTGACAGACTGCTCCTCAGGCATTGCGATCTTTTGCTTCCGCCCTGCCCTCTCTCACCTCCAGACTCCAAGACATGTCCTGCTACGACCAGTGCCGCCCATGCCAGCCCTGTGGCCCAACCTCGCTGGCCAACAGCTGCAATGAGCCCTGTGTCAGGCAGTGCCAGAACTCCACCGTTGTCATTGAGCCCCCTGCTGTGGTGGTGACCCTGCCTGGGCCCATCCTCAGCTCCTTCCCGCAGAACACCGTGGTGGGCTCCTCCACCTCTGCTGCTGTTGGCAGCATCCTCAGCTGTGATGGAGTGCCCATCACCTCTGGCTGCTGTGACCTCTCCTGCATCACCAGCCACTCCTGTGGCAGCAGACTCTGCCCCTGATTAAGACGCTGCCAACGGCCTCACATAAGGACCCCCAGGAACTCAGACCATGATGCTGCACAGACAATCAAACTTCACGCCCTTGCTTTCAGACACGCTGGTCATCTCTGGCTTGACCTGCAAGGGCAGACTGCAAGAGACCAGCCTGGATGCTCTGAAAACATGGCCAATGTCTGCCTTGCCGCTATGCCACTCACCCTTTCTCTTTCTGTTCTTTGGTGCCTTGTGCTCCCCTCAAAGCCTGCTCTGAGGACCCCAGAAAGCAGCTTGGAGGCCCCTGCCAACATGACTGCCTTTGCCAGGCAGGTCAACGGATGGCCTGTGGGAACTCTTGCTTAAGGTGCCCTGCTTGACCTCCTGTTCACTAACAGAGAAGGACTGGTGGGAGAGGTGGTGGTTGGAGGTTGTCTTGGACTTAGCGATCATGAAATGGTCGTTTTTGATTTTTGGTGAGGTAACGAAGGGGCTCAGCAAAACCGCCACCACAGACTTCCGGAGGGCAGGCTTTGGCTTGTTCAGAACCCTGGTTGGGAGAGTTCCTTGGGAGAGTGTCCTGAAGGGCAAAGGGGCCCAGGAAGGCTGGGCCGTTCTTCAAGGAAGAAGTCTTAAAGGCACAGGAGCAGGCTGTCCCCATGGGCTGTAAGATGAATCGGCAGGGAAGACGACTGGCCTGGCTGAACAGAGGTCCTTTACTGAGACTCAGGAAAAAAAGGAGAGCTTACCAGCTTTGGAAGAAGGGGCAGGCAACCCAAGAAGAGTACAGCAATCTTGTCAGGTCATGCAGAGAGGAAATTAGAAAGGCAAACACCCAGCTGGAACTTAACCTGGCCACTGTTGTAAGGGATAATAAGAAAAGTTTTAATAAATATGTTAAAAGCAAAAAGAGAGCCAGGGAGAACCTCCATCCTCTAGTGGATGC